TCAATTTCAAAAAACAGTGGACAACTTTATTGCTAATGAGATATTGAAAGACTTTTGCTTATCTTGATAATTTGAAAATCTGTGGAAAGATGCAAAAGAATTATGACTACAACCTTAAAATGCTTCCTTTTAGCTGGTAAAGCAGTGAATTTAACTTACAACAACAAAAAATGTGAAAAAATCAAGACCACTACTAATGAAACTCTTCATAAAGGACTCTTTATGTATAATAATTACCAGCTATAATTCTGCTAACGGACATTCAATCCAATTATTGCTTATACAACCTGGCAAGGTGTAGTTAAAAAGACATGTTAAAAATTCTAAGTATAAATTTGATGTAGATGAGGTATTGCTAATGGAAGCAAAACCACAAAATGCGCTTATTTAGCATGATTACGGTTGTGAATCTACAGTTTCTATTCGTCACCTAACAAACTTAAGAATCACATACAGTTAACTTACAGTTAACTGTATACTGTAAATGGAACTGTTAACTGTAAATGGCAGTTTTATTGCAATATTGACTAGCATGACGTAGAGTGCAGGCGGTGAGATCTGTTGCAAGGACACGCCCCTGACGAGTGGCGTTAGTGCAGGTCTCGGGCTCTCCGAAACGTCGTTGGTGATCGCAGTGCATTCCTGAGGAGGGGGACCACTATTTATCCACTACTTAATTCTAATTGGTTATTATGGCACCAACATTTTTTTACCTCTTAAACCCATGTATTTTTGCGCTTTGTGAGCTTTTTATTATGTATTTGTTACATTAACGACATTTACATATTTTTATGTTACTCAGGTGATTATCAGTTCTCAATTTTTTATCTAGAGTTTAGAACATAAATAGTACCACATTTATTAGACACTTGTATGGTGCGATTATTTTAGTTATGAATACCATTATAAACCAGCGGAATTTTATTGACTTGTTTACTCATAGATCATTGTTTCATCATTTGCTAAAAGATGACTAGAGTGTGAGTTTTTATTCCTCTTTTCCTGAGTTGCTAACTTTTATTCCACCTACTAAATAATTTTTACACTAATTTATGTTTTTTTACCTAAATGACATCATCTTCAATCTGTTTTTATTTTCACATCTCCCAGGTCTACGTAACTGGACGGCTCCGTTGGTCACTTGTTGCGATCATTGTGTCGCATAAACAAAAAACTTAAAAATGTCGGGGAGAATGTGATGAAGTTGATCATTATTATCATTGTTTTATAATATTTCTTATTGTTTTAGGTTATAAAAAGTAAAAAAGAAATTATTCAGTTATTGTAATTTATCCTTCGAGTCCACATCAAGCTAAAACAATCTTTTAAATAATTTTACGCAGAATAATAACTGCTTCATTTAATTTATGTAGCCAGTTTATGTAGGTTAAATATTTGGCTTAAAATTTTCAACTGAAAACAACAGGTTTAATGCAATAATATTTTGCGTCCCGTAAGTAAGTCAGCATATAATCAATTATAAACCCTATGGTTATAAAAATTGAACGAAATTTCCATATACAGGAAAACAAATAAATGATTTTAGGATGATTCATATATAAATATATAATCTGTTAGAATAAAAAATATATAATAAAATGTGACATTACAAAAATTAAAATGTCCCGTAAGTAACAGTGACATTGCCCACCAACATAATTTATACACCTTTAAACCACCTTAATCTTCAATGATGCACCCTATCAGATACACTCGCTGTTCCTAATCTCTATATAAGATCACCACTTCTTTTCTTGTTTTTTGAGTTGCACCGCACATCTATCTGATTGTTGCCTTTTCAACTCTTTCCAAATAGTGGACATCATTAAATGGACATCATCTTTATTGCATATGTTTTTTGCAACCCATCATTATATCTAGACTCACATAATGTATATCTTTGCTTTAATCTTTTATAATACACTTCTTGCTGTTAGATGTGGATATATATATATATATATATATATATATATATATATATATATATATATATATATATATATAACAATAATTTTGAATGCATTCTATAAAATAGAGTGCTGAATGTTCTTAAAAAAACAGAGCAATAACTTAATAGAAATTTTAAATGGAAGTATTCGATATAGTAGATATATATGTATATCTAGATAGTAGATATAAATATATATCGAATAGTAATATATTGGTAAAAATATTCAATATGCATATATATAAAATGTATAAATATTTAATAATGCTTAAGATATATATAGTGCTACAGTTATTATATCAATATTTATACTAATTAACATATTTGAAAACTAAAACATTTGGAAAACATCAAGCTGAAATACTTTTTCCGTAATTCGTATAAGTTACTCCAAGGGAGTTAAATTATTATGGGTAGTTAATTTTTTTCGCCGACAGGGGTTATTATATTTCAAGGGGAGTTAATCTATTTCAAAATAGATTAACTCCCCGGATAACTTTTTAAGCTACAGGAGTTAATTTAATTTGAGGGTTAATTTATTTCATGACACCTGCTTTTTCATAGCATAAAAATAAAGCTCTTTCAAAAAATTGTATAGTAAAAAAAATAACCTGAAATTAAAATTTTAAATTAATCTGAAATTAATTTTTTATCGAAACTTTGATCTAATACTATTTGTGGAAAAGAAGGACATATATATACATATATAACAATGCAGCATATATGTTTTATCAAATAATAAAACATACTTTAACTTAAAAATAAATAAGTAAACCCCAAAAAAAAAAACTTTTTATTTTCAAAATTTTTAGTGCACCCTTACGACGCTATTTATTTTAAAAGAACTCTAAATTTTTTGTGGGTGACAGGTATATAGCGTTGCCACGCAAAAAGTAAAATAAAATTATGGTTGGGTGCCAGTAAGTTAGATATAATAGCATCGGCTCTTTCAAATCCTGGCTCTTTCATACACACTCTCCTCGACATGTTTTTTTTTTTTTTTTATTTATAGCATATGAAATTTTTGAAACAGAATGGAATATGCTTAAACAAAAAGTAAAAAGAGGCTCAAAAATATTCTTAAGCTGAAGCATATTTCTAATAAAATTACCTATACCTACCTAAAGACCTATTTCAATAATTTATAAAAGTGCGCGCGTTACTAAAGGTTGATAGGTTGATAAGAAAAATAAAAAGTTGATTTATGCTCTGTATTTTTGTTTTGGTTTTAATGTAGCTGAACTAATGTTGTTATAAACTTCGGATTTTGATCTTTTTGTTGGTTTAAATTTAGAAACATATATATTTAAAATTGATTAAATATTTTTTTTTTTTTTTTTTTTTTTTTTTTAATTTATTTCGTCAGTAAAAAAAAGAATACAATGCCGTGTAGTATAAATAAGATCTACATGACCGGGGTTAAAAAAAGACAATACTTGCCTTATCAACATGCTTTCATAAGCAAGCGTGTACAACCATTAAAAGTTAAATATACAATTACTTTGTGGCATTTAAAAAATTATATACAATTATTTACAAGTATGTTAAGACTAGTTACTAATCTATAATCAAAAGAAAATAGTAAAAAGAAATTTAGCAAAAAATAGTAAAAAGAAATTAAAAAAAAAAAAAAAAAAAAATCAAAACTATAGATAAGCTAATAGGATAGTTTATAGAGTTAATAAGATAATTGTTAAAAATAAAGAAAAAATAAAAATAAAAAATTTTTAAAAAGAATTTAATTCATTAACATCGTTAATGAGTTTTTGTTTCAATTTTTTTTTGAATAGGTAAAGAGAAGAACAATTTTTCAGCTTGTCACTTAATAAAGGGTTCCATAATTTAGGACCAGGGCCGGCGCGACTAGGTGTCACGTGGGGGGGGGGTGCCATTACAACTTTTGCCGACTAAAAAAAGAAAAAAAAAGGTCCTCGTTTTCCAAAATTTGCTGACTGCCATTACAACATTTGCTGACTGTCTAACCTATATTGAAAGGGTCGACATCTGCCGACTAACTAGTCTAAAAAGGTCCGATTTGCCGACTAAGAGTCCAGTTTGCCGACTAAAAACCATTGATGAAGGGGTGTCACACCCCCACACCCCCTATTGCGCCGGCCTTGTTTAGGACCTCTTATAGCGATAGAAAACTTGGTAGCCAAATAATGCATTTTAGGTTGCTCATAATTGTACTTAGAAAATCTTGTAGGGTACATGTGATTAATTTTATTGAAAAGTGTACTAAATATTATAGGTTATATTTTATTATGAAGTTTGTACATAAAATTAAGAATTTGATAAAAGTTTAACTGAAAAACATTGAGTATTTGAAGATTATTAAATAGTTCTTTAGTATGTGTGAATCGACCTGCATTTGAAATAATTCTGACAGCATGTTTTTGTTTACTAAGCAGTTTTTTAATTTTACTTATATTAGAGCTGCACCAGGCAATGTTTGCATAGTTTATATAACAATGTATGAGGGAGAAATATAAAATTTTTAGGCAGTTCTGGTTTAAAAACTGCTTGGCTTTGAATAGTATACCAATATTTTTTGAAACTTTATTTTCTATTGTACTTATGTGTTCTCTCCATGTTAAGTTTTCATAAAGTATCACTCCTAAAAATTTTATTGATGACACTAATTATTTTAGAGTTGCCAATATAAAGATTAGGAAGTTTTAGTGAAATGTTTTAAATAACAATATAATTTTTTAAATGGTTTATCGAGGCTCAGGAATATGCTTCTATATGCTTATTTTTTTTCCTAATTGTAGCCTATAAGCGTTACCCAGTGGGCACAGGACGTAAAAAAGACGTCGTTAGGACGTTTAAATCGCGTCCGTCCGTCCCATTAAAATTCTAAACGTCTTTTGAACGTCTTATTCGCGTCCAATAATTTTTTCGTCCAAGAAATATCCAGAATGCTTTATTAACTAAAAAAAAATCAGTTAAATCACGCAAGCGCTAAAACTTCATAAAATGTTTAAGTAACGCATTTTTAATAAAGTTTTTTTTCAATTACAAAAGAAGTCTTTTTACAACATCTAATAGACACGTTCCATCTAATTTTTATTTTTGTTATCAATTGAAAATTGTGGTAATATTGATACAGGTAATGAAATTTTTACAGATAATGAAAGAAACGGTTTAAAACTGAATATATGCTATACTATGTATATATATATATACTTGGTATACTATTAGTATAGTATTGCTATATCAAGAGCCAAGTTCTAACAATAAGATTTAGACATCTCATGCAAAATCGAATTATTAAATAGGAAAACCTGTTAATGATCATGGAACAATTATCCTTATAATTCTTTGAATTCAATGTATTTACTCGACAACATTATGCTATTTTATAATGGAACCAGTACATTAGTCAAGGTTTGGAACTTCCCAAAGATTCAAGGAGAATTTTAAAAGCACCTTATGAAAAGCGACTTATAGACAGGTTCTTGCTAATTTATATATATTATTTTAAACATTTAATTACTTGAGAATCGTATTAATATTGATACATATCAATATATGTATAATTGATACAGATATTGAATTGATACAGATATTGAAATAAATAGTTAAAAACTGGGTATATGATATACTATATATATATATATATATATATATATATATATATATATATATATATATATATATATATATATATATATATATATATATATATATATATATATATATATATATATATATATATATATATGTATATTAAGTATATACTTGACACTTGATATAGTATTTCAAGTATAATAATTGATATACTATATCAAGAACCAAGTTCTGACTGTTTAAAAGACTTAGACATCGCAGAATCTCATGCATAGTCATATTTTTTAAAAGGAAAACCTATTAATAATACAGAGAGTTTATGGTGATAATTCAATATAATTCAATATCTTTAATTAACAACTTTTAGATTGTTCTATTCGAAATAATTGGACCAGTACATTAGTTATTAAACTTTTTGAAATATTACAATATCAAGTTTTGGAACTTCGCTAATAACCAATTACTTAACTTTAGTAATTAGTTATTAGTGTAGTTCAAAAGTTTTGACTAAAAAATAAGTCTAATTGAAAAACTTAAACCAGTCATAACAGTTATATAAGAGACAGGAGGGTAAAAAATTTCTTTTACTCTAAAGGAAACTTTCTACCCACCTGTCTCTTATATAACTGTATTAACATATAAATAACCACTATATCACATGTTTGAATGTTATTGGCAATTTACTAAGTAACTGATGGCAAACACTCCTTATTTTCTCCTTTTTTTTATCATCTAAGAAATTTTATTAAAGTAAATGGATTATACTTATTAATAAAGAAATTATATAGTCCTTTGATTGATTGCAAACCTAGATTTCTATTGTATGTATATATATATAAATATATATATATATATATATATATATATATATATATATATATATATATATATATATATATATATATATATATATATATATATATATATACACAACCCTTGGATTTAAGAAAAAAAAGGTTGACAATAATTTGTCGACATCAATCAAAAAAGCAAAAAAAAGTGTTACCATTAAACATAGAAACAAGGTCAGCATTATTTGTCGACCTCAAACACTTTTAGGTTGGCATTGCTGCATGCTGACCATTTCCAAAGGTTATATATATATATATATATATATATATATATATATATATATATATATATATATATATATATATATATATATATATATATATATATATATATATATATATATATATATATATATATATATGTATATATATATATATATGTATATATATATATATATATATATATATATATATATATGTATAAAAGTAATATGGTAATTTATAATAGTTTTTCTGTTTTTATTTTAAATTTATTGAAAAAAATAAGATTCTGTTTTCAATGTAGTTATTTTCTCCTTAATTCTGCTATTTTTTCTTTCAAAAAATTGACTTTCGTGACCAAATCTTTTTAAATAATAGAAAAATGTCTCCTTAAAATTCTGACTTATAGCGTCAGTTTTAATAGTAAAAATACAAAAATATATGTTAAATAAAATAAAAAAAAGTTTTTCTAAAATTTAAAATTATTAGAATTAGTTAAAATTTAGAACTATTAGTTATTATTAGTTAAAATTAGTAGAATTTGTAGTATTAGTTAAAATTTAGAAATAGTGTGAAACTTCAATTGGATACAATTTAAATTGAACAGAAAAATTAAGAAAATAAAAAATAAAAAATGCTAATGCTAAAAACATAACACTTGTAAGAATGTTTTTTAGTTTATCCATAAGTTTTATTTACTTGTTAATTAAGATTTATATTTTAGGAGCATCAACTACATCAAGTGTCAGTTAATATATATGTTTTGGTCAAATACATGTTTGTATTTGGTAATATTATGTTACATTTTTGTTTTTTATTTCAAAAACTCATTGCATTTATTTAAATATGCATTTAGGAATCTAGAATTGATGTGTTTTTAGTTTTTGTATTTAATTTAGTTTTAAATTAAAGAAATTTTATTTGATTAAATGTATTTAACCCTAAAGTTTTATTTTTGCCTTCGGTTTTGAAAAAATAAAACAATGATTTTGGCTATATTTCATTTTATGTAAAGGTTAATGTAATATAGTTTATTTTATGTAATATGCCTAATGAATTTTTATTAGTAACAACTTCTTTAATTCATTCAGCTCCTCCAAAATTTGAAAGTATGTGATTCAAAATTTTGCTTTTCCCAAAAAAAAGTTAAAGAAAATATATGAAGTCAATGATAAATCTTAAAGTTTTACAAAGAGTAATGTAAGTAATATTTTTTCTTCTAATAACTATCTTGGAAGTTATTTTAACTATCTAGTCCTTTTATCTTTATAAATTAATTTTTTTAATACTTCTCAATACTCAAAATAGGTACCTAGTCAATTCAGCTAGAAAAAAAGAACATTTAAGAATTTCCTCTCAAAAGATGTAGTAAGTAAAATTTTAAGTTAGTATATATATATATATATATATATATATATATATATATATATATATATATTTTATTTTATTTTAATGATTTTAAATATATGGCTGAATGATTGCCGAATGGCATGAGACTTGAAGTCCCATAAAAAAGTCGTATTTTTCAATTAAATATTTAATATATATATATATATATATATATATATATATATATATATATATATATATATATATATATATATATATATATATATATATATATATATATATTCTTTATATCCTGTAACTACAAGGGTTCTTCAAGGTTCAATCTTTGGCCCTATACTCTTTTTAATTTACATTAATGATCTTCCAGGTATTATCACATCTAAGGTGGCATTGTTCGCTGATGACACTACTATTTATTTTTGTCATGATAAGAAGCCTACACTCTCTGATTGCTTGGAGGGGGTATCTGAGCTTGAAAAGGATCTCACCTCTGCTACAGCATGTGGCTCACAATGGCTGGTGAACTTTATTTCAGATAAAACTCAATTTTTTTTGGCCAATCGTTTTTGCAATAATTTTGATCTTCCTATATTTATGAATGGTAATGCACTAGATGAGTCATATACCCTTCACCTTCTACGAATAACTTTTACTTCTGATCTTTCTTTTAAACTGTATATCAAATCCATTGCAATATTAGCATCTGCTAAGGTTGCATCTCTTTATTGAACTCGACACTTTCTTACTCTAGATTCTATTCTCTATCTCTATAAATCTCAAATCCGTCCCTGTATGGAATACTGTTGCCATATCTGGGGCAGATCTTCTATTGATGCCCTTTCTCTTTTAGACAAGATGCAAAAACGCATTGTAAACATAGTTGGACCTGCTTGTGCAGCCAATCTCCAACCATTGTCACATCATCGTGATGTTGCTTCTTTTTCTCTTTTCTACAAATACTATAATTGGCACTGCTCTAAAGCTAGTTTTTTTCTTCGAACATCAGTTCTTTGGAATTTGCTTCCTTCATCTTGCTTCCCTGATTCATAGAACTTGCAATCTTTTAAGTCATTTGTCAATCGTTATCTTGCTCTACGAACTTAATCTTTTCTCTTCCAATAACTTCCAAACTCTTATAGTGGTTGTTCGCAGCCTTGTTGGAAGCGAAGATGAAATATATATTTTTTTAATTATAATTTATATATATATATATAAATTATAATATATAGTCTTTACTTCATTTACTTACTTATCTTAAGAATAATGAAATATAAAAAACGTTTAAAGTTAATAATAGTTTTGATCTTTACTAGTATGATTCTATCGCCAAGTCTCTTGAATGTGATCAATCATTTCTCGATACTAATGTTGCAAAAAGTAGTATGTTTTTTATTATGGTTAAATGTTTAGTTTTTTTTCATAAGGGTAAATTATATAAAAAATTTTGATCTGTAATTATATACATAATGCTTACTTTACAAGTAAACATAATTTACACAAAATTTTTGAATTGAATAAAACACTAATGAATTGCTCCTATGCCCAATATAACTTACACTAAATTGTCCCATATCAATTACTCTAGTGTTATCTTTTGAATTTAGAAATAGAAGTTATTAAATGTTGGTGGCTCATCATGCAATGCATTTGAGAAGGGCATGCTTTCAAAGTAAGTATAATTTTACTATAAAAAGAGCATTTTTAATACCGCAATTATATTGCATACTTGATATACATAAATATATCGCTGGTCACAACAATCCAGTCAAAAATTTCTTTAAAAAAATAAATTTAGTCTTGAGAAATTCGTATTTTTTGATGTTTGATGTTATGTTTATAAAATAATAATTATATATATATGTGTGTGTGTGTGTTATTTATTTCTTTCCCCTTTATTTTTACATACTTATCTTAACAATATTTTTTTAAGGTTAAGACTGCTTTCCTGATTCCTACAGCAAAAAAAAAACTTTAAAATGCTGGTGGCAATATTTTAAAGAGTGCATCTGATCGAAAAAAAAGTGAATGACGTCAACTGTTCGAAAATTCGATTCTTGGAAATTAACAAGTGGAAGAAGAAGTTTTACAAAGTTGTAATTTATAAAACTCAGCACAATTATATTATTAAAAAATTTAAACGATTTAATTTTTTTTGCTTATTCTCATGAAGTTCTGCAAAAGCATAAATTTAAACCTTACGTTTAAGTAAAGCCATGTTAGAACACGTATTTTAGACGTCGAAATAAGAACGTCTAAATTAGGTTATTTAAAGACGTCATTCGGCGTTTCCATTTAGCACTAGTTCTGAACGTCCTAAATTCACGTCTTTTAGACGTCTCAAAACACGTCTTTATTCCGTCCTATAAAGACGTCCTAGTTACGTCCTAAAAAGACGTCATCTGGCGTTTCTATTTAGAACGAGTTCGGGACGTCCTAAAAAGACGTCTTTTTGACGTCATATGGACGTTTCCGTGCCCGCTGGGTAAGCTTATAAAAAAAAAAAAAAAATGAGTATATACAGTAGAATTCCGTTATCTTGGTCCCTGGATAAGTAGGTCTTTGGAGCTATCCATAAATGATGTCAGTAAATATAAGGGGGAGGGGTTACTGAAAGGTTTGACACGAATTGACAATGGGAAGGAGGTGTTAAGACCAAAATGATATCTATTTAAGAAAAAAAAATTCAAGTTTATTAGCCAAACTCACGTCAGAAACCTGGGTCTATTTATAGGGGAAAAAATAAAAATGGTAGTTTTGTTTAAACCTTTTTATTGTATCTTAAACCTGTTCTGTTTGTGTTTTTTATTCAGAAAAAAGTTATTAGCTTTAGCTATCCTAGATTTTAAAATGAAAAGACATTCTAAAAACGCAAATGGGAAACCAATAGGATTTTATTGCCTTTTACGTGTAGAAGCTATTCAGAAAGAATACAAAAAATCTCTTAAAGCAGTTGGAATGTATTGAGATCATGATCACATTTGGTCACAATACAACTTTAAACTAAAGTCACAATTTTTATTAAAAAAGATTTGAAATTTATATAAACAAAACTATCTATATACAAAAATAGACTTCTCACGGTTTTGTTGTTATTTATAACGCTACCATTTTTATTTTTTTCCTTACAAACCGTGTTATATGAATTTGGCTAATTCGAGCAGATTTTAAAGGTATTTACATCTACAATGTGGTATAGAAATAGCATATTTGCATTGTGGGGAATTCGATGTAAGTTTCCTAGAGATATGACATAAATTAAAAATTTACCAACGTTTGACTATTTGACTGAAAATCTAATTGTTTATAAATATCAACAATTTGTATATAAATTTAACAATCATTATTCGATCCCAGCGGATTTTAAAATGTGCTTTAAAGGAAACACATAATATCATTTGTCATTATTATTGAAGAACACTTCAACAACTCATGGGAAGACGATGAGTGATTGAATTTACATTATAGATTTAGAATAAAATTTTCAATAGTTTGTTTACTATTTGATGAGTAATCAACTGTTTTATAATATAATATGTTGAGATATAAATGTATAATTGAACCAGAAAAAATTAATGGTGCTTACACATATTTTTAATGTTAGTTTAGGGAAGGAGGGGTATAAAATTTGACATCATTTATTTGAAAATTGAGAAAAATCACAGACATCAATTATGGACAGCCCCTTTTACTAAGTTAGAAAGATTTTCACTTTTCATGGAACGTTCTATTAATACCAAGAGCTACGCTTAACTTGGACATTCCCTAAGTTGTACTATTTATCTGTTCTCACTGAGAGTCCAACTTAACGGGATTTTAGTGTATATATATGTATGTATGTATGTATGTATGTATGTATGTATGTATGTATGTATGTATGTATGTATGTATGTATGTATGTATGTATGTATGTATGTATGTATGTATGTATATATATATATTCATATATATATATATATATATATATATATATATATATATATATATATATATATATATATATATATATATATATATATATATATATATATATATATATATATATATATATATTTGTATAAACAGCTGAAGAATCATTTAACAACATTTTTTTAATCATTTTATTATTTATTATTTAAATTGTTAACAGTTAATATCTTAAATATATCGTAACATAAAATCTTTTGAGTCTTTTTCGTAACTGCACATTCCGGAATGCTCCTTCCGTAACGAATTATTTCGTAAATATTCCTACAAAATAATTTGTTTCGCAAGTTTTCTTTTGCAATGCTTTATTACGAAATTTTATTTAATTATATTTTCGTATAATGCGTTACAGAATGTGCATTTTTGCTTGTGCAACTTCCGCAATAGCAATTCTATTACGGTAGATAAAGATGCGAAGTTTTTGCAAGTTTTGTTTTTCGGCGAACAACCCTAGTGTAGAGTGATTCTTGATTGTTTTGAAATATTTATTGAACGTCCAAAGTCCTTTTACAAGCAAACAGTAACTTGGTATAATTATAAGCACCACAACACTGTTAAAGTATTAATTTGTATAGCACTAAATAGATACATAACTTTTCTATCTAAGTGGCAGAGCATCAGATTAATTTATTTCAAGTGACATTTTTATGATTTGTTGGAAAGTGAAGATGAAGTGATAGCAGACAAAGGATTTCAAACAGGAGAAGAACTATTATTTCGATATTGCAGCTTATCAGTCCCACCAGGTGCAAGGGTAAAAAATCAAATGACTGCTAATGAATGTAAAAAGATTACTGATATTGGCAACTTGAGAATCCACATAGAAAGGGCCATAAACAGAATAAAAACTTTTCGAATCTTAAATAATGTATTATCTATTTCAATTCTTTATCATATGGATGATATTATATTACCATGTGCAGCTTTATGCAATTTAAAGCCTGCTTTATTAGAAAAAACTCATTCTTAAAAAAATATATAATTTTTTTTTAATTTAGTACTTTTGCGTGCTAAATGCAAGGGAGTGTGTGAATTTTGGTTCAGATCTAATTAATGTTGAATTTTAACATTAAGATGAGTGGAAACTTGCATAAATCAATTTAATTCTTGTTTGTAATCAAATGTATATTTTTTAACAGCTGCAGATGTATATTTTTTAACAGCTGCAATTTTTAGCATCATTAAAATATAATTTAATACGCTTGTATAAGATGAGGAATAAAAAAAAAGCTAATTTTTGACAAATCGAGAATTGCAAGCATGATTTTTTTATAGTTAAACAATTTTAAAAACCTGATTGTCTTTATAAGCTTTAGATAGGTTGGAAAACTTTCACAAAATATTTAAACGTCCACCCCCTTGTATTAAACTCACAAGAGTACTAAGGTTGTAAATTTTTTTAATCGCTTGTAAGGAATGCCAAATACCACTGCGCACATTTATTGAGTTCAGATGTTTTACATTATTACAGTTTTTTATATCATAAGTGGTATGAAATAACATTTTAATTTTGAGTATTTTTAACCTAAATGTTTTTACACCATTATTTGGCTCTTATTGTCTCCTTTTATTACCAAAAAAAACAAAAGTATTTTGAGGTGTCTGCTTATAAACTTAATTACTTATAAATTTGAAGGTAAGGTTTTATAATTATAAAAATATATTATTTATAAAACGCAGATTTTCTTTTTACAATTTTGTTCCAATCAGAAAATCCAAGAAAAATCTACAAAGACAGTTTTTAAATAATGATTGTTGTAGTACTTAAAAAAATCAACTTTCATACTCAACCAACCAGCTTTATCAATTCCATTTTTATTAATTATATACCCATGAGCTGTCCATACCATAAAATAACAATTGATCATTTTAGGAGTTCCCATTTGGACCTGATATTGAGTATAATATCTATGCTTTTTGTTCACTACTAACTTTTCAATTTTCATTTTAATATAAAAAGAGATAAGTAAGGATCTTTTGGTGTTGTATGGTTAATAGAAAATGGACATTTTATTTCTAAACAGGCTGGCAAGCAACATGAATATCGGACAATTTTATCGGAGCTTCCACCTATATAGGGCATTTAGACATCTTAAAATAATCCAAGTTCATTTACAGTTAAGTTTTGATGAAAAGATTTTATAAATTCGAAAAACTGGTTTGCTACTTTTATTTCCATTGCTCTCCCATACTTTAATGCAGGTATATCTCCTATACGTCAATGCAGGTATACCTGGGTTCACAAAAGCCCTGAAATACTTTAGTGTGATGACCGCATGTCAACTTTAATGATCATGTTAAACTTTTTTATTATTTTTTAAATATCATAACCTTTTGAAGTAGTTATAATTCGCTTTCGAAAATTAAACCAAAGCTCATTTGTACTTTGACCCATAACCATATGCTCTATATCAGTAACTATTGTTTGAGTCATATTTGGTTTAATGTTTTCACTAAAGTAAAATTTATTTTCTGGCATAATAATAATATTATCCATGGTCAAAATTGTTAGTTTTGTAACAGCTGCAGCCACAATTAAATCTTCGATATAATAAATGTCAGGTTTAGCTATAATCGAAGTTATAATACTATGAGGAGCAAAAGCTTCAATTGCTTTTGCTATGTCTGTTAAATTTAAATGCTTCAAGTCACAGTTTACCAATGGGTTGTAATTATGCTT